CATCCAAGATTTAAGCAATCCTTAAAATGAGAAACCTAAGATACAGACATGTTAAATGGTCTCCTGTTGATAAAAAGTCAATTAGCCATTTTTGTAGGAAACTGCTGGCATGCCATGGGGATGTACACTATTGCCAGTAGGTCTTACTGGTAGATTTGATAGTGTTATGCAATCCCCAAGAAACTTACTTTTCATGCCTTGGCAATCTACAAAATGTTGACCATGATTAATCCTGTATTAAGGAGACTCTTGTATAATAAAGGATCCTTGAATTTCTGACTAGTCATAGAACCCAATGACTAGACAGTAGGATGAAGTGCATCTGAAGTTACATTTCAAACACCAGTGCAAAGAGTTACTTTCAGAGTTTGTTGCTGTGTCTCTAATATGTCGGCAGAGTACATACAGCAGCATATTAAAGTCAACAGTGTGTAATGTTGCCATCTCAATTTCAAACTTATGATTAAAATACCTGCCTTTGACCCCTGCTCAAACTTGACAAGTTTCAAAAAGGAATAATGTATTAAAGGAGACGTGTACATGAAATTTGATAAATTTTAATCTTCATTTCCTTTCTCTCTTTTTTTAAATCTCCCTTTTCTTATACAGCAAGGTGTTTATATATGTTAATAAGCGTTGCATTAATAAAGAACAAAATGGGAGTATTTTTAGGTAGTATATGCCATGGCACTGAGAATATGAAATGTTCCCTGCAAATGATGACAAGATTTTGGGGGCTGGAGGTCTGCTCCTAACAGAGAAGTCCCTGCTTTCCTATCATGGTTTCAGGCCTGTCTCATTGGTATTTCATTTACAGAACTTGAACATACTCATACAGGGGTGTAAACCTACAGAGAGTGTGCTGATGGGTTCCAAAGACTCTTTTCAGAAGGAATAAGTAGGATATTCCGTGACCAAGTGTTCTTGGGAAGACCTTCTGTAGAGGCAGTAGAGAGATAGCAATGTGATTCTAATATAATCTGTCAATATTGTCCTTGGTACTGCCTACTTATTTCTAAGAAGACTTTTGAATAGAAAAATAAAGCAGGGTTGAGAACCTTGAGTTCATTATATGCTAATTGGATCCTTTATGAAGTTGTGTTCCTTTAATAATGAAGGCACCTTGGATTTTGGTGTCTGCTCAGCCTTGCTCATAGAAAGCATCAGAAGAAGCACTTATCAAGGTACAGATAAGGTCATGTGGTGCAAGTTGGAAAGCATTGTGAGAATTCTGAGGAACCTTGCTTTGGACTTTCCCTTTTTCCATTTCTTTATCAGAAATGCAGACTTTGAGATCAAAGAGATTAAATAAGACATGTAACAGTACTTTGAGCGACCTTAGCAGCAAGTCTTTATTATTTTTTTTCATTCTATAGGGTTCCATTGATTTAATAATTTTAATAACAAGCTAATATGATCCTTTCTCTTGGACTGTGTGGGTCACTCTGGAGGTCTTTTCTTCCTAACATCCTCTATTGTTTTGTAGAAAGTCTTAGTAAGAGCTTAATTGTGTTATGGTTTATGCAACAACTATCTGAGAGACATTGCATTTCCAGAAATTTAAATGAGAAACTTAGGCCCTTGCCTGATTGTGCATAAGGAGAAATCCCCTGTAGCTGAGTTCTCCAGTATTATATTGAGTGTTCTACTACATAGGGTGTTCTACTTAGCTCACTAAGGGACAGAGTTCTTAGTGTTTCCCACCCTGCCTACCAATGTACAGACTGTTAGTCACTGTAAGATGTTATTTTTAAAACATCGATTTTTTTCCCCCTTGCTATCTTTTCTTTCCCTCCCTCCCTTTATCTTCTTACCTTCCTCTTCTTTTTTCTTCTCTTTCTTTCCTTCCCTTTACTCCTTCTCCTTCCTTCCTTGTTTCTTTCCATTAGTTTGACAGTGTGTGTGTGTGTATGTATGTATGTATATGTATGTGTGTATACATATATATACACATACATATACATATACATGCATATACACATACATACATACATACATAATACACATAGACATATATGTATGTATGTATGTATGTATGTATGTATGTATGTATGTATGTATAGCTCAGGCTAGCCTGAAACTTGCCATCCTCCTGCTTCAGTCTGTGCACAGGAATTACAGATGTGTACTGGCACACCCCAGCTTTGGTGAAGTTTGCTTTTGTCATCTTGACATCCTTAGATTTATGACACTTTGTTGTTGGAGAATTTACAGTTTTGTATATTCTTTTCTTTGTTCTGAGTTGATTGTGTACTCATGGCCTTGGCCTCCAATTCTCTCCTCGGAGTAGCAACAGTTTATTACACCGTTATTTCAGCTTCTGTGACCAGGAAATATAGCTTAATTCCCTGTTATGTTTTCAGAGAGGCAAATTTCCTGAGTTGTTTTCTTCTTACAGGCTAATCTTCATATAACGGTAGTCAATTGTCTTACTTTTTTATTGCTAGATCTTTCCTTCCTTGAACCTTCAGGATACCGAGAGTGGAGGGATCTGCTCATGTAAATGTCAGTCTTTCTTAGCATGATGGCAGCATAGAGATTTGCTCTGTCTTGATTTTATATACTTTTGGGATCATGTTAGCCCCCAAAGTTTAGAGCTTCTGTGCTTCTAAAGCTGAGTGCACAATCTCATCCTTCCTTAATACTGGTTTAAATCTTCTTCAGCATGATATCCTAGTTGAGTAGCTTCTGGATTAGCATAGGGATTGTGTATTTTTACTAGTTACTGGGGTATTAAAAGAGAAACCCTTTGGTCCTACTTAATCTGCCCAATTCTGCTCTTAACTGTTTGAGAATCCTATTTCAGGACTTCCTAGCTGTGATGTTTTTTTATCTGCCCTATCCAGATGTCTCTAATCCATCTGGTAATACCATTAGTGGATACAGAATTGCCAACTGTGTACCCAGCTTATGAAGTGGCATAAGGGATACAGTCTGTGGGAGCTGGGGTAAATTATGTACTGTGAATGATGTGTTCAGAAGCTACACTTGGGGATAGAGTGGGAGCGCTTTATCCAGAGTAGAGGGGCTGGAGAGGGAGCGGTAAGGAAGTCAGAGAAAGCAGCAGGGACCGGGGATCAGAGTTGAAAAGCATCATGCCTTTTATTGTAATATGCTAGAGAATAAAAAGTCTTGGGGATGGAGCACCTGGTTGAAACCAGAGTTCAGTTCAGTGGGCTTAGATGCAATGTTCTTGGATGTTCATATGCCATCCTATCAGTTTGAAGAAGCAGCTTCTATATCAGTATTCCCACATGTGTTTATCCTTGTTGATAGTCCCTGAGCTGGGTTAGCTAAGAGTGTCAGCTTTGTAATCAAGCAGTGTTGGTTTGTACCCTAGCCCTTCCACCTAGATGCTGAGAAATCTTGAGACACCACACTGTCTCCTTATCACTGTGATGTAGATAATGAAAGGGTGTACGTTGTGCTCTCCCTATCAGGTTGAAAGCATTGCCAGGGTGAAAGGGCCAAATCCTCAGTCCTGTAGTACTAAGCAAGGCCTAGCTCTTGGGCAATGACAAATTTTCTTAACAAAATGTTTATTTCTAAAATTTTATGTATTATCTGCATAAATGTGTGTCTTAAAATTTTTTAACCTCAGCACATTTTAATTAACCTACTCATCTTCCCTCTAAACTGAAGAACTAAAGAATTTCATGGAATCATAAGCCTGTGACTTAGTCACAGGAGATTAAAAGGCAATAGTGAAGCTAGTGTTCATCAACCCTTTCCATCTTCTCCATAAGAGGAGTCAAGAGGAGGCAAATTCTGGAAAGATGTTTGTTTTCTTGAGTCTTTAAGCAACAATGTTTGTCTCTAGATGCTCATATAATTCTACTCTGGAAACAGTGAGCCAAGGCCTCCTCTTTTCCACACATAGTTATCACTTATAAAGATTTTTTGAGGTGAACTAATTTTATTGTCATCTCAACATTTTTACATCAGTAGGCAAGTGTGCTTGAAGTTCATAGCACTGGTTAGTGGGGGCATTCCAGAGATGCTAGCTCCCAGTAATCTTAAGGAGTTGCTAATCATTTCCACTTGAATATTTCAAAGTGGCTCAAGCACTTGTCTTTTAACTCATGTTAGATCTTCTTGGCACAGCCTTTTGTTACTAGCTGGATTTATGAGCAGGATATAGTTGGTGCATAAATGTAAAAGCACATTTGTTTTGGGAGATTGATTGTTTAAATACTGTATCAATGAGAGTGACTTTGGCAAGCAAATTAGATGAAACACACTTCTTCACAGGAGGGGCCTTGAGATACAGAGAGGACCGTGCTTTTGTTATTAGAATTAAAGAATTAACTTGTTATAAAACTACAAAGCAAAGGCCACTTGTCATCTTATAGTTATTTGTCACACCCAAACTATTGTTGAATCCTTGCTGCCTCTGCTAGGCTAGGTCAGCTCTGCAATTACCCAAGTATACATCTATCTTCAGGCAATAGCTAATCTCTACAGCCATATGTGCAAAGGCAGCCTGATCATAATTTGCTACTAATTGCACCTTGTGACTGTATTGTTTTCATTGTCTCAAATCATTTTATCTTTCTGTCCCTTAAAGCATATTAGTTGGTGGGTCCATGGATGCCATGTTCATGTCATTTCTACACAATCAAATACATATTTATATAACATTTTTATCTTGTGATATTATAGATTGCTTTGCTCTCATGGACATCATTTTAGTTTAGAGAGATAAATACTGTAAAACTGTAATTGCCTGATCTTTCATATTCTCTGTCATTTATAGAATGTGGATGATAGTTCTCTGTGACTGAGGAAGTATCTTGATTGACACCATGAAGTTTTAGAAATTCTCTGACTTAGTGATGAATTAGTGGCTGATATGCTACCATTGTGCATTTTGCTTAATAATTGGTAGGGAAATTAGAGGTGGCTGCCCATTCCCACTAATGTATTTGACAGACTGCATATGTGAACTGGTATTTATATTAATATGAATTTTAACTCTCATCTCCCTCCTGTTTTTTCAGTTGTTTTTATTTCAGTTGCTGCGAGGGCTGTCCTACATCCACCAGAGGTATATTTTGCACAGAGACCTGAAACCGCAGAACCTTCTGATCAGTGACACGGGGGAGTTAAAGCTGGCAGATTTCGGTAAGAAAGCAGTTAATTACCAGTTTATTTGTCACACTGTGAGAATGCCAGGCAGATGGTGGCACTGCCTTTGTTTAGGTGCACTTCTTCTGTCATCATGGCTCATGGTAATTTTTTTTCCGGAACAAAGAAATTATTTCCATCTTTTGAAAAATGATAAAGTAAAACATAGTGGTTGGTGGGTTTTTATGATGTAGAACTCTGCTTTCTAGCCTTCATTACATAATCACAAGGTCTTCACATGTGACATCAAACAAAATCTCAGGAAAATTTTGGATATAAAATATATTCAAGGAGATCTTTCTTTTCTTAGTTTTTGTTGTGAAAATAATCTAAAGTAACATGAAAGTCAAGCTTACCTCACAATTTAAGAATTCTGAACATTTTATTAAACTTCAAGAGCGGTAAAGTGAAATCTTGGTGCCATTTTTGGACACCCTGGGATGAGCAATTTTCAAAAGTTTATGTTACTCACTCTAAGGACCCAATGTAGGAATCTCTTGTAACCTTGCCAGAAGTGTCCATTGTTTTAGGTATTCCTCATAGCATTGTAAATGAGAATGATGCTAGATCCTAGATCCTAGAACAGCGATTTTAAAAGAAATCTGAAGCTTGGCCTTTCACATCTTTGCAAATCCAAAGGAAGCAAAGCTGGTGCTGTCCCCTCTGCCACTGTGCTGTTGGCTTTACTGGGTTCCCAGCAGTGGGGATGACACTTGATGGAAGTGTGATGTGTTGACACTACTCTACCTCAATTATTTTTGAATACATATTCAGATTAGAAATTTGTTTCATTAAGAATGGAATGAAAATATTACTCTGGGGATTTAAAGATGCCTGAGGTTGAGACAACCTTTTGAGGAAAATAATTATTTTCCCTCATTCCAACCCATAGTAAATAAAAGGGGGGAGAGAGTGCTTGTTTATTTCAAGGGCAGGTAGTTGAGTACCACAGGACACATTGACTCTACTGGGTTTTATATGTTCCTTTCTTCCAAAGAGAAACAGAAGAAAACACTAGCATGATGAGTGATGTATGTTACAAAACACTTTTTTCATCAGTGACTTTAATATAAATAGTGAAACTCTGTATGATTTCATGTATGTGTTCTTTATTGCCAGATTTGGCATCAAGGTTATATGAGGTGGCTGGATATAAGGTCTGTTTGAATAGAGAGAATAAATAATGGAGGGGGAGGGGTAGAGAGGAATTTTGTAGTTCTTCGAATTCAAGGTATTAGCTTTGCAGCAGACATTTTGTAGTTTGTCACTGTCAATAACTTTAAAAGAATTTACATTTTAACAGTGTTTTTTTTTTTTAATTATAGTTTGCTAGTGTAAGATATCTGTTGATTTACATTACTGTGATCAGCGTTTAACTGAATGGAGCCTGTTCTTTAAATTTTGCATTGAGTATGCCAGTAAATATGTGTTAAGAAAGTATTTGTCGGTACAACTAAAGATATAATAGTTGTTTGAATATGCTTTATAATTAGTTTTATATTTTAAGATGTTATTTTTATTCTTATAGTAAGGTAAGTTCATCTGAAAAGACTCTCTAAGTCTTATGGTTTTCCAGTATCAAATGTTCAGTCCTGAAAATATGCATAAGGTAATATTTTATGGACTTAACAGGTCATATTTAGGAATATATATTTACAAACAAAACACTAGCATTTTATATCAGATTCAGTAACAAGCTGAAATGGAAGTCTTAAAATCTGAAGTGGTATTTTTTTTAAAGTTAGAAAATTAAGACTATAAATCACTCAGAAATTATTTTTAACATTTTAATATATTTTCTCTTTTTTTTACATCTTGTTTCACTTATCTGTTGCATATTCTCAAAAAGTTACATACTGTTTTATAAGTATTTATCTAATAAGAGCATTCCATAATGTATATTCATGTTAAAGAATATGACAAATCATTTGTATCAGCTGAGATTTTTCCATTATTGGCTAAAATATCATATCTGTTCAAGCTTTTGTCAAGGATGTTTTAATTTTCCTAATTACCCACAATTTTTCACATTCCTGTGCGAATGTATTCACTCTTTGCAGTGAAAGAATGGCGTACTAGAGGTGCAGGGGTGAGTGTTTTTTAAAGCAATCTGTTCTTTGGTCCAGGCTGATCTGCAGAGGATGGCCCATGTACTCTCAATGTCGTAGTCACTTGTCTAGCTAGGAATGTGCACTTGGCATCCGTCCCGTGCATAGAGTGTAATGAGCGAGACTTGTTCACCAATTGACAATTTCCCCCAATTAAGTGTGCATTATTTCGTCTTTTAATTTAAGACATGCAATTAACTGTGATTTACTGTTTTTGGGCATGAGTGTGTATGAGATGAAGGAAATGCATGGGAAATACAATGAAGCTAAATAGTAAAAACAGACCAGTTCCAGGCAGCAGAGCACTTAGTATCTGGTCTTCATCCAGACTCTGACATTTCAAGAGCTTTGGAATTTGTTTCTTTATCTTACTTTTGTCTTTTATGTGAACAATGATGCAAATGTGTGAATAAAAGAGGCAAATATCTCTGAATGACTGTATCACTGTGCTGTAAATGCTGCTTCCTTTTTAGAAAAAAATATAAATGTATATGTATTCATATATATATATATACATACATACATACATATATATATACATATATATATATATGCCAGAGGATAAAACCACCACCATTCATCAGGTTCATCCTGTGTTCTGAATATGCATAAATTATTTCTAGTTTCCTCACATAAGTAAGCTTATTGAAAGCAACCCAACTTTTTGAGACAAATGTGAGATTTGGAGTGAGGTAGACCTTAAGAGGCTTGGCCATACAAGTGTCTGGCTACAAACTCGGTCTGCCAGGCACTTGACCCATAGCCTTTAATCTTAGGCGTACCTGTGCCATTATTTACATAAACAGACATTTTACCTTAGGGGCTGCCTGATTATTTAATAAATTCTTTAATAAAGTCTTGATATGAATGCTATAAATAGGTGTGTGCAGATATATTCTTCATATAGTAAGTATGATACTATTGATGTATGTATAGTTCACACTAATAAAATACATCTCAGAATTTACAGAACATTTTTTTTTTCATTTGACTAATTTAACAGTAATTGATGAACAGAACTTTAATACTTGGGTGATTTTTGTTCATGGGTAAGATAAATCAGACGTTGCTGTATTTATAGGCCTTTCACTTCCAAACAGAATATAGTTTAACTGATTTCACTAGGCTAGGTCCTGCTGATCACTCATCTGAGTATTATTTTCTGCATGCATTTAGAATGAGGAAATTGAAGGGGTTTAGCACCTTGACCTTGCTGTTCGAGACAGTTGGTCTCATTTCCATCTGCCTTCATATTATCTATAGGGGAAGTATTTCAAATCTATTATGCAACCAGTGTCCTCACTACCTGGGCACTGCTAGTACACTGTGGAACAACAAAATTCCAAAGCTGTCCCCACATCACAGCCTTTTAGTGGCCTTTATGGTCTCCTGGGTCACCTTCCTGCTTCCTGTGTGGTTGTCCTTTCTTTCTTTTGTAGAGGGATGGTTGCAGCCCTGCCCAGAAAAGGACCATTCTCAGTACTGTCCTCAGCTTATTAAATCAGTCACTTCTCTAATGCATTGAAGGCGTCCTAGTCACTTGGTCTTGTATTTTTATTTTTTGCTTCAGCTAATTACCTTGCCCACTATCACATGTACTATATGCCCAACCCTACAGTAGGTACCAAATGCAAAATACTAACAATAAACATTGGTTGAATGGCTAAAAATTCATGACAAAGTGGGTAATCATCTAAAGATTAAGACTCACTTGAATGCATCAATGTCTGTAGAAAATAAGCTGTTTATAAAACAATGGTGTCTTTATCAGAGTTGTCCTGGCTCTTGATGATCAGGACTGCAGGTGGAGTTCCTGGGTGAAGGAAGTGTGAGCTTTAGACTTTTTTTGAGTCTCTCCGACATGGGTTTCACACAGCGCTTGGTACTTATGAGGCCTGTACCTTCAGGTTGCAAAAAGAAAAATATTGCGGAGCAAACTAGCAGAGCCTTCCTCATCACTCAGTTAAACTCTTATCAATTTCAGAGTGTATCAGACATTGAATTAAGAGATCATTACTTAATTTAACTCCTTTGTGTTTTCTGAGCCTTTGCTTGCTGGACAAATACATTCCCAGGTCCTTTTAGTATTGTTGGTTTGTGTTGCATGTTTTTAAACACACATTAACCTATTTTCTAGTGAGTAGAGACTTACTGGTAATTAAAAATCTTTCACTAAATGTGAATCAGTGCCTGGCCCTTTCTCTCAGGAATTTAAATTTTGGTTTTGTTTTTTTTTTTTTTTTTTTTTTTTTTTTTGAGACTAATATAGTCCCACAACACAATTTCCCTCACCCTAACTCTAACATCCCATAATTCTCCTCCACACACTTACTTTCATTCAAATGCATGGTCTCATTTTCTTTAATTGTTGTTACATACATATTTATGCATGTGTGATTTTCCCTAAATATGTAAATACAGCCTGTGCCGTCCAGATAATGTTACTGATATGTATATGTCTTCAGAAGTTTGACATTCAAACAGATGAGTTAAGTCATACTTTCATGATGTATTGAGTACATTAAAAGAATTGAAGTGCAGAAAGCAAACAAATGCATGAATTCATAGTTCTTAGTAGAATAAGAAATCAAATATTTTCTGTCTAAATTAGATTAAAGTGGATGATAGATTTACAGTTCTGTGCAGTTTTTGCAAGATGTTGTGGGGTCATCCAGGTTTCTTCTTCTGTTTTTAGAGGTCATGGTCTAACTATATTGAAAGGCAGACTAAGTTTATGTCTGGGGATGGAAAGAAATCACCAAGAAGTCTCTAATAAACATTTGAAGTCATACTTTGTTTTACAAACTTTTCAGGGAGGAATGGAATTAAACAGGGTTATGGTTTTAATCAAAGAAAATTGTTCTGTTTTCTTCCAACCATCGGCCTAGA